GAGAACAGAAATCGTGCTCCAGCAGCAGGAGGCCCCATTAGCTAAAGTGTTGCTTCAGGTTAAGAACAGTTTCAGGTTAAGAACAGACTTCTGGAACGAATTAAGTACTTAACCTGAGGTACCACTGTATCCAGTTGCTCACCAACCCTCCCCCCCACTCCCCTAACGTCAAAACCCTAGAGCAGTGGTTCCCAACTGTTTTTTGGCCACGCTCAAACTAAGCGTCTCTAAAATCCTTATGCCGCCCTCCCCTTGTGACATACAATTCTTATTATTCAAAAAGTGAACTCCTATCCACATGGAGGATGATTAAAATCCTCGAATTGCCCCCCTGAAAAATCAAATTGCCCCCCTGTGGGGCGTATGCCCCACATTGGGAACCATGGTCCTAGAGCTTCTCTTCCCTTTGCATGCTTAGCCCCTTTTCATCCCCCCAACCTATTTTCAATGCTGTTTCTCCCTTCTGTGTTCCAGTTCTGCTTTGCCCCCCTCTTTTCACCTCCACCCCCATGCCGATCCTTCTGCCTCCCCCTTTTTTGGGACAACCCCTCTTCCACAACCCTGGTAACCTCCAGCATCTTCTTCCTCCCACACATTGCAACTGCTCAGCTCTCTCAGTTATGAAGCCACCCCTCCTATTATGCAGCCCTTTTTGTACCCCCACTTTTGTCTTCACCCAATTTCCATGCTTCCCCCCTCTTGTTCTGCATCCCTTCTTTGCGTCTGTGTGCGCTCACACACACACAGTTATCACATTCCCTGTCTTTTCCCTACCTCCCTCTCCTTCCTTTTCTCAACTTCCTCTTGCACAGAGTCATATGCTTCTTCCTCCTCCCTGTTGTGCAGCCCCTTCTGCACACATACACTACAATGCTACTGTATCTTTAAGATTACTTAAGAGCAAGGCTGTCCATTAGCTTGTTCTGTTAGAGAAGGTTAAATTCACCTGATGGATGCTGTGCATAGATGAGCGTTTGCTTCATTAACTTTGTATTCTACAGGTGAAACTCGAAAAATTAGAATATCGTGGAAGAGTTCATTTATTTCAGTAATTCAACTTAAAAGGTGAAACTAATATATGAGTTATTTGTTATTTCATCAGCTGTACACCATAATCATCACAATTATAACAAATAAAGGCTTGACATATCTCGCTTTGCATGTCATGAGTCTATCTCATATATTAGTTTCACCTTTTAAGTTGAATTACTGAAATAAATGAACTTTTCCACGATATTCTAATTTTTCGAGTTTCACCTGTAAATTCTTACGTTAAATGTGGAGCTCTGTGTTGAAGGAAGCACATGCCACCAGGAGTTGTTTGAAGGTACTATGGAATATTTGAGGACTCCACATCCTTTATCTCTTTCATATGAGGCAGCTAAGGAATGGAAAAGGGAGAGGTTCAGTGAGAAGGGAGCCCTGAGTAAGTCACCCTGAATAACCCCCCTCACCAGCTGTGTTCTGAACCTGGAAGAAAGCCCACTTGGGGCAGGGGGCAGACTGCTGGGGGGGGTGGCATTTGCAGGGGAAATAATGGTTGTGGGAAGATTTAAGCACACGTTCCACCTAACCTTTCTTGTTATCTCAGCTAAATATTTTTAGGGAACGCACATTAGCTAAGAACGCCAAGTTCCATTCGCAGCTCTAAAAGTAGATTGTGATCCATTTGTTTGCGTAGGTGTGTGTGTGTGACTTTTTGTTGTTGTTGCTCCAAATGAAAAAAATAACTTTGGTTTTCCCTGGCTCCAACTATGTCATGACTATCCATCACTTTGAGAGTCGATATATACTAGCAGATATGCAGATGCCAGTTACCCCAAGAAAGACAGACGAATTATACAGAAAAGAGCAAGAGTAGGTTCAATGGCCAAGAAGGCAGTTTCTGCACATGCTGTAGAGGGAAGTGAGAAGCAGATAGGGCTCGTCAGCCTCGGAAAGTAGCCCATCTCGTGGAAGGAAAACTCTGACCCTAAACATCTGCTACTTTGCTGCTATACACATTCACGAGAAAGGATTCAGGGCTAAAACCCTGTTATGTACTGAGATGAATCCTAGAACAATAGGATCCAGAATGCAGCAGTCTGATTGGTTCGCAGGAGCCACCCAATCCAGCTCCAGGTGGAAGTGAATCAGTGACCTGATTGCATACCTGTCAACCTTCCCTTTTTTGTGTGGGTACTTCCCTTATTCCAGCGCCGTTTCCTGCTGCTTCCTGCTGCTATCCTGGATTGTTAGATATCCCGTAGACTGTCCCGGGACAGGTGAGGCTGCTGATCCCTTATTTTCGAGGCTCCCCGGGACAGGTGAGACTGCTGATCCGTTATTTTCAAATCTGAAAGTTGACAGCTATGCCTGATTGGCCTGCAGGAGCAGCCAATCAGACTTCTGGAGGAAGTGAATCCGCATCCTGATTGGCCTACAGGAGCAGCCCAGAATTAGCCAATCACGCAGGGCCCATTGTGTAAATAATGTATATATAGCTAGACGATTTGGGGAAAGTTTCATTCATTGCTACTACGAGCTGAATAAAGAGCATGAAATTCACACTCGACTCCAAGTATATTTCAAACCCTGAGGGAAAATCTGGACCCTCTGCCTTGCAGCACATCTTTGGGAGAGAAAAAAGGCTATTCCTCCCAATCTGTTTGCGGAGAGGCTAGAGGACAGTTGCATCAAAGCATGGCCAGCTCACCTATTAGGTGGGATGAAGCAGCCATCTTAGGCAGTGGAAACCCCCAAAGTGGTGCCCCCATGGGAGCCCCACCCACTCTCCCTCCTCTACCCCTGGTGGAGAAGTCACTCTGATGCCAGCAGAAACAGGCAGCCCAGTGGCAGTGCTGGCAGAGGTGGACGGCATGGCAGCAATGCCTGGGGGTGGATGCAGCAGGGCACATGTTATGGCAGAGCAGGGTGGTACTTCCCATGTTGTCCCAAGTAGCAAAACAGGACACAATGCCCCCCGTGGTCACCCACTTGCCACTGCATTCCCCCAGTCACTTTTTTTAAATCTCAAAAAGTCTGATCTTCTGGGGAAGTGTGGGGCTGTTGTGCATTCAACTATTACTGAGCAGCATGGAAATTGCCAGCATGTGGTTGAATCCCACCCCCAAATAGTGTCAGTTTGAAAACACTGCCTCCCCAGCCCCGTGTGCTTGTGTGTGCAGTGCCTTTAAGATTTACACAAGAAATCAGTTCCATGCATCAGAGCTTAAACTAGAACCTGGCGGCCATAAGCCGAAATGAGTCACATTTGGAAAATGGAAAAACTGAAATAACTCTTGAGCTTAGACGTGAAAAAAGCAGAGAAGGAAAACAAACACCTTATCTGGGGCACAGCAAGATAACCATCGGCAACAGTTGTCTGCTATTTTATGCCCATCATAAATTTCTACACTTTGGAGTTACAGCTCTTATGGAAATTGTGTTCACGATTTCTTAGTGAGTGACTCTAAGCACATTTATGACTCTGGTTGTTGTTGTTTTTTTGACACCAGCAGCCATTGAACTTGAAAAGGTTGAAAGCACACTCTAAACACCCTTTTTGTGCAAATGGGGCCATGGTAAATTACACTCTGCTTTATCCCCAGAGAATTTTACCAAGTCTGTGGGAAGCTAGCCTGCTGCTCAGCTTCACTAGTCACTGTTGCTTTTGATAAATAAGCCCTGCGTTGTGTCTGGAGTCCTTAACACGTCAACACCGTGAAATGTAGGGTTTCTTTTTTGGTGATGCTGTTCAGTCTTAACAACATCAGCGATCTGTTTCAACACAAGCAGATGAGGCCCTTCATAACTTGGGATGCACTAAGCTCAGCAACCAACCAACCTCCCCCCCCACTTCAGTGCACTGTTCTTTTCTGCCAGGTACTCAAGTACATGGCCAAGCGGTGTTGGTTTATTTTAAAATCAACCTTTGAGGCTTGCGCCATGTTAAAAAAACAGGAAAACAATAAGAAATGTATTTTTAGCGTGTGTACATTTGTGCAAAAGTAACACTCTTTTAAAGTGGGACTCTTGCGTATATGTGCACTCTAAAAATACATTTTTAATTGTTTTTCCATTTCCCAGAGTAGATGTTGAAAATGTGCAAACAGCCAGAATACAGTATCCTGACAAGACAGAAGGACTGTTTATGGGGGACAGGAGGCGGGCTGGTGTGGAGGACTCCCTGGTCCTGAATGGGGTAACTGTGCCCCTGAAGGACCAGGTGCGCAGCCTGGGAGTCATTTTGGACTCACAGCTGTCCATGGAGGCGCAGGTCAATTCTGTATCCAGGGCAGCTGTCTACCAACTCCACCTGGTACACAGGCTGAGACCCTACCTGCCCGCGGACTGTCTCGCCAGAGTGGTGCATGCTCTGGTTATCTCCTGCTTGGACTACTGCAATGCGCTCTACGTGGGGCTACCTTTGAAGGTGACCCGGAAACTACAACTAATCCAGAATGCGGCAGCTAGACTGGTGACTGGGGGTGGCCGCCGAGACCACATAACACTGGTCTTGAAAGACCTGCATTGGCTCCCAGTACGTTTCCGAGCACAATTCAAAGTGATGGTGGTGACCTTTAAAGCCCTAAACGGCCTCGGCCCAGTATACCTGAAGGAGCGTCTCCACCCCCATCGTTCTGCCCGGACGCTGAGATCCAGCGCCGAGGGCCTTCTGGCGGTTCCCTCATTGCGAGAAGCAAAGCTACAGGGAACCAGGCAGAGGGCCTTCTCGGTAGTGGCGCCCGCCCTGTGGAACGCCCTCCCATCAGATGTCAAAGCGAAAACCAACTACCTGACATTCAGAAGACATCTTAAGGCAGCCCTGTTCAGGGAAGCTTTTAATGTATGATTTTAGTGTATTTTTGGTTTCTATGGAAGCTGCCCAGAGTGGCTGGGGAATCCCAGCCAGATGGGCGGGGTACAAATAATAAATTATTATTATTATTATAGTATAAAAAACAGCAGAGCAGCTGCCAACTTCTGGCATTGACAGGGATAATTAAAAAGCTCAAAATGTCTCTATCAGCTAATTTATATTATTTTATTGATTTGCTACATTTATTTCTCTCCTTTCCTCCAAAGAGTACACGTTTCTCTTCCCACTTTTTTAAAAAAACCCAAATAGTATTTATTTTCCACGTCTTCTCTCCCATGTTATCCTCACAACAAACCTGTGAGGTAGGCTTGTTATATAGTTTTAAATTAGTGGTCACTTGCCATTCATTTACAATAAATTAAATATGACTATCTTATGTTAGCAACTACTAAAATATAATTTATGCTCACTCTAGCTTATATCCACAGGAAATGGGATTCCAATCTATTGGGATTCAAGCAACAACATACAGTGCACTCAATGTCATAAAGCCACAAACATCTTAATGTGCTATATATATATATCTGATGGATTACATTTGAGGCAGTGATGATTTTTTTGTTTTGTTTTGTTTTGGCAATTAAGGTTTTCCAAAGGTTTTCCAAAACATTTTTGATAGGATTCACCAAAGGACTTCTACCTGAGCAGTGGAGCTTTCCCCTTTCTCCTCCTTCACCTCCCCAAAAAATGGCTCTGGGGGTGCCAGGGGAATCCCAGAATAGCTCTGGGGAAGAGGAGGGCATATTGTTCAAAATCACAAACTGAAATGCTTGTGCAGATACACTAGACAGGCTTATCTTAGGCTGCTCTCAGATTCTTGTTTTCAGTCATCTAGTCAGTCATCTAGCTGCAAGTGATCACTGTTAAGTAATGAGAATTGTGTGAGCTTGGCCTATTTATGTAAGAGCAGGAATGGAAACACATGTCCTTCCCTTATACCGTCATGTGATAGACAAAAATCCCATGACCGCAATCATGGAGCAAGAATTCTAACAATAATGACATCTGCACCAAGGCTCACTTGCAGTGCCATTCCCGAAGGAGAAAATTCTAACACAGGAAGCGGTCTTTAGTCCAGTGGTGCCAAGGCAAAATGGCTTCTCTTCTTTTCAACCACTTCATCTCAGAGAGAACCATCCAGGCACCTTCATCGCACATGCAAACCAGTCCATGTTTGTGACAGTTCCAACATCTCCTTTGGTCCACTGTTCCATCTTGTGCGCTGCTATCCCGCCACTCTTAAAACTGATGTCAACATCAGACAAGATTCAGAGCCCATCCTTGACTCTTGCCAGGTGGGTCCTCACTTGAGACTGTTGCAGTCAACCTTATCTAGCAGCTTGCGATAGAATGTGGACTTGAGGAATCGAGGGTAGGAGTCTCGCTCCATCAGTATGTACACATGCCTCTGGGCCTCATCGAAGCTTGAAGGCGTTGGATCTTGAGCCTTCTTGGCGATGTCTTTTCTTGTGTAAAAGTCAATGTTGACCTAAGGGACAGCAAAATTAGACTTCAGTAACATCTGAATGCAGGTTTCATAAATGAAGTACAAAACATGGTTTATAAATCTGGATAACAGCAACAACTGGGAAAAGATAGACATAATATTTTACAAGGACAGGAAAAACACCACAGACAGAATAATTGCCACACACAGGAAGAACAAGGATATAGTTTGAGTGCTTCACTTGTAGTTTTATAAATCGTTTAATGTGTCAATAGGAATAGAAGTTATTAATATTGCAGTTGTTGTATAAGGGATTATTATTATGACTGGAATGCATTTAAAATTAATCAGATTTTGGAATGCTGAACTAAAGAAAACCATCAATTCTAGCACGCCAGTGGAGGGGACCTTATCTAAATTATATAATTTGGCATTTGAACGATTGGTATTAGTAATTGTATTATGAATTGGTATTGTTATAATGAGGCTATTATCGGATTGTAATCGAAAACTAATACAAATTATTATCAGAAAAACATGGTTTATAAATGTAAAACCACAACCCTTCCAGTTAATTACTAAACAAATGCCCTCAGGTCGAATTCCCACTTTGTGTTTTCATTCTTATAAAACTTCAGTGCCTCTTTTCATACTTCATACAGCAAGCACATGTGCCACATAGAAACAGTAAATGGGAACTTGGTACAGCCCAAGTTCATTGGTTTTTTTCTTGGTGCCCTAGGAGGAGTTGAAGCATGTGGTAATATTAGAATATTCTCTGTTGTCTGAAGAAGGTGCAGCAGTTGGGAGAGTGTGGAGCAGACCACTGACTGGGCAAGAAAGGCCCACGTGATTTGCATCTCTCCCTCACCCTGGGGTTCAAAGAATATTCAGACAATATTCAACCATGGGGTCACCTCACTGAGAAGCAGCTCCCATTGCTGTACAAAAAGGGATGAAAGATGGAGACATTAAGTCCAGATAGAGGACCTTTGAATCAATTCTCATGGGTTTGATAGATTTATTTTATTGTCTGTTTTGACATGAATTTAGCTTTGACTTGTCTTTTATTTTTGAAATCTGCAATGTTTTGTTATATTGACTTTCATTTTGATATTTGGTGTTAGCAGAGTTGTTCTGCTGTTAGCTGCTTTGATTTTCCCTTGGGGAGCAGTGCTGCCTGGTTGTGCATTGAACAGCGCCGTACATTAAAAGATCAAGATTTTTCTTTTTTAAAAAAAAATGTTAGGAATTTAACAACCATGCTCCCTGGACATCTACCACAACTGTTATGTACTGAGTTGAATAGGATCCAAACTGCAGCAGTCTGATTGGTCCTAGAACAATAGGATCCAAAATGCAGCAGTCTGATTGGTCCTAGAACAATGCAGCAGTATGATTGGTTGGCAGGAACCACCCAATCAGGCTCCAGATAGAAGTGAATCCACAACCTGATTGGCTTACAGTAGAATTCCGGAATTAGCCAATCATGTGCAGCCCATTGTGTAAATAATGTATATAAAGCAGATACTTTGAGGGGACATTAATTCATTCCTCCTCACCACTATGAGCTGAATAAAGAGCATGAAATCACTTTGCGACTCTGAGTATATTTCAACAACATTTGGAGAAGTGTGAATTAGGAAGGATTTTGGTTTGCACATTGTTTTAGGAAGTGCAAAAGTAGTTTCAGGAAGGTTCAGTTCACAATTTAATATGAGCTTAATTACTTTCCCATCAGTACATGGGATATATAGCAACCGAAATAAGACTTGTAGGCATTCACACTGCATATGGGTCAGTCCAAAATGCATAGCCTCATGCAGAGTTCCTACTATCTTAAGTTTCAAAGGGTTAGCCATGAAGCTATGAAATAGCCAACCTATAAAATGCACCAGGATGCTTTCAAATAAAACTGCCATAAACATTTATTCATTTTCCCTTTAAACTTTATCCAAGCTTTAAACTTACTTGCTTTGTAGCATCATTCTGAACAAACTCCTTGTAAATCTTCTCTGCTTTGCCATGTAAACAATCAGCTTGGGTTTTCTTGTAGTCTTCACAAGCTAGCCAAAACTCAATGTTTTCATCACTGAACTCGGATTTTAGAAATTCTCTGAAAGCATCTTGACCACCTGCAATAAGCAGAAATACAGATGTGGCTTTAGTCATAATTTTAACACAAGGGGAAGACAAAATAACCAAGAAACTATGCTTTATAGTAGATTGATTAACCTTCTAGCCAGGCTGTGGTGGTGGGGAAACTGTTTCTATTAGGGCATAGCTTTAAACCATGTTGTTACAAAGAAGCCAGGAGCAACAAGTACAGTGTTATCTCGGGTTACAGATGCTTCAGGTTACAGACTCCACTAACCCAGAAATAGTACCTCGGGTTAAGAACTTCGCTTCAGGATGAGAACAGAAATTGGGTGGCGGCGGCAGCGGGAGGCCCCATTAGCTCAGGTTAAGAACAGTTTCAGGTTAAGAACGGACCTCCAGAACGAATTAAGTTCTTAACCCAAGAATACCACTGTATTTCCTTCCCCATCACCTTTGGGCCTGAAGCTTGTATCTCCATTGCCACTTGGGCTCATTCCTCTTTAAATCCACTCATGCGGGAGCTCAACGTGAAAGGCAAAGAATGGGGGGAAATTGAATGGAGGGAAAATGGAATTCTTAGCTCTGAATTATAATATAGTCTTGTGCTCTGCTGTTCCTTTGTTCTCCTATAGGATATGCTGATCTCCCAAGGAGGGCCAAGAAGTTTGTTTTTATTTGCCAGCAGTGGAGGTGAGGTATGTGCTTTGCTGGAAAAGGTGATATAGGGGTGACCTCTTTGTAAAGAGTAAAGGTGATGAAGGGCTTGTGTCTTGGGGCAAGGGAAGGCTGTTAAAAGGGGTTTTGTGTTTGTTTGTGTGTGTGTATCTTGCAAAACATGATGTGCAGATGCTGTTTGGTTTGCTATCCTAGATGATGGAACAGGTTTGAATGAACGTTGAACAAACTCCAACTGTAATGCTACAGCAGCCCAAATGGTTCAAACATGTTTAAGTGTGAAATTATATTTGGGTAGCCACTTACCTCTATTATTAACAGGCTTGAGATACCCCAAATAGAAAGACCTTGCAGGGATCAAATTGTTTTTGTACATTATATACTGGGCGCTAGTAGAATTATTTAATTTTATGTGGCCTTGGACCCATTGGGCAGGAAGGAAAAAGTTGAGAAGTGGAGGGGGCTGGGAGGAAATGGCAAAGAGAGAGAGAGAGGCGGGAGAGAGGAGAGGAGAGGAGAGATGAAGGATGGTCACCACGCCACTGCAGACAGTCTCAGGCAAAGGACTCACCAGGTCCCACACTCTCTTTTCACAAGACACCTGCCCTCCCCAAATCTGATCTTCTGGAAGAGTATGGAACGTGGCTTTTCAAAAAGGTCAGAATTGATATTCAACTCCAGTAGACTGGAGTATATTTCCAGAGTATGTACACACATTAAATATGGACGGGATGGATGGGTATGAAAAACCAGTATCCCAAGGGACATAGGTGAAGTCTGGATCTGCAGATCTTATAGAATGGGATGGAATATATGGAAGAAAGCACTCTTTATTATCTGTGGGGCCCAGGACATGTAAGGACTTTAAAGTCTCAAATAACAGCACATGGCCACCCCAGAGGATATTACTTAACTGAGTCATATTTTCTGAAAGTGGCAATTCTGCTTTGCTGATCTTCCTTTCAATATTATATACTCACAACACATAAAACTGTTACAGTGATAAAATGCTTACACTGGGTTGCCAGAAGCTTCTCTAAGGACTGTGACCACTTTGTAACCTCTTCTGCAGGAAGCCTGAAAGGAAAAGAGACATGGTTTTAAGTGCAAGAAACCACATACTTGACGGAGATCTTGAGCTAGGCCAGTGTTGTTTGTTGTTGGAGACTTGTGTGTGTTGTACCTGTCAGCTTGGAGGGCATTTTATACCAAGGAAATAGGAGGGAGGTTTAAGCATTCCCTCCCAATACTGCAGTTCCAATGCTTTTCACCCCATGTCTTTTTTGAAAATAAATGTAAAGAGATGGGAGAACTGATCACAACTCCCCAATGTCTTGTCTAGTTTAACCCCAAGTTTCTCTGAAAATTATAGATGCGCCAGCTTTATGGGGTCCTGGTCCATTTGCCCCCCCCCCCAATAAAATATTTGAGGGAGCCAGCTCCCTCCCCATTTCCTGCAAGTTGGTACCTCCCTCCCTTAGGCACCCCAACTGGGTGCCTCCCTCTTTCCCCTGCTTTCGGTGCCATTTCTGAGTGTGTCCTGAGCCAGGGCAGCTGGGGAGAGGTAGGCAGCCAGGCAGGTGAGTTGAGCAGGTGGCAAGTGTGGGCAGGCAAGTGGGCAAAAACCTCTTTCGGGTGGGTGGGGGCTGAAAGAGTAATGGGACTCCTGTGCCCAGCTGTGTGTGTTGAAGAAAGGTGAGCTCCACAGAAGTGTGAGGGGGGGAGTGTGTGCAGAGGCAGTGGGGGGTGATGGGCCCCCTCAACATTTTGTTCTTCTTGGAATTGAGCCTGTGATCTGTGCTTTACCACCTGAGCTATGCTTCTTAACTTATTCACCTAATTCTTTGAGTTTCATAATTGAGTAGGGACTGACATTTGAGACTTTATTTGTTCAAGACCTTCACTTCATACCATTCTAGTCCCATATCCATTACTACATCACCCTGATGGCTCAATGAGATCCTGAATCGGACTACATAATCATGAGTTTGGAAGTTCACAATGCTAAAAAGCCGATAAGAGAAACCTTTGATTCATTGACAGGATATTGAGTCAATATGATAATTCTGTTAGCTATCTTGTCTGACTTCCTTTAGGTCTGGGCTCTGAAATGCTCTGCTGTCTTATCTGCAGAGGTGGGTTTCCCCTTTCTGTTTTGAGCCTTAGATGAATGGATAACCCTCAGCTGCTAAGTAGCACATTTAGAAATTTCACACTGTAGGAAAGAACCCACTGCAAAACTGAAATTGGAAGAAGATTCAGAATGAATATATTTTGAACCACGTGATACTCTCAGGATTACTCCTAGGCCACTGGTTGCTCTGCTGGGATTTTAGGTAGTGAAAGAAGATCCCCTGTTCTGACTGGCCACAGCATCCCTATGGGTCCAGGTTCAATAAGTTAGAAGGGATGTGGGATGAGGTTCCTGTGCTTCTAAGAGCTGCATGATGGGCTCTGAAGCAGAGACACAGATGCTTCCCTGGCTCAGAGGGGAAAAAGTGATGGCACTAACTGGAAGAGTAGTCTAAAGTTTTGTCCATGGAGTATCTGACTCATTATGGAGGCAGCTTTCTGAGCATCTGGTCTCACCCACCGAGCATTTCTAGTTCCTGCCCATCCTCCCTTTGCATCAAAAGATGTAGCTGGCCAGTTCAATGGGGCCAAGTGACAGAGGTATGCTCCGGGAAGGGCTGTGGGGCAGGAGTCAATGGCTGGGCTCAGCAAAATGAGCTGGAGGGCACCCGACACAGAACAAGGCTGCTGTACCACATTTCTAAATAGATGCACATTAGCAGTTAAAGAGCTGCTGTGTCAAGGGGCTGGACTGAGGAGGGATGATGGGAGTCGTCCCCCTCTCTCTTGAACCTTGCTGAGAACAGGAGGACAGTATAGATTTAGAACAGTGGTTTGCGGAAGGGAATAGTTTAGAGGGCAAAAGCTGGGAAATCCTGGAAGAGGGACAGCAGGAAGAAGAGACACCAGGGGAGAGACAGCTGACAGACTCTGTGTCCTTGGAAAGCATTCCTGACCCCCACTCTCCCAAGACCAGGTGGGCATTGAGGGTATTAAATCAGAGAGCTCAGAGACAGAAAGGTCAGATTAACCGACGCAGGAGTGATGTTGAATAAGGGGGACATAGAGGGTGGGACTTTACTTGGAGCAGCACCATTATTAGGGAAGGCTGCATTCCTTTGTTGTTCTCGGTGAATTATTGAACAAATTGCATGGTAAGAACTCTTATTGTTTCTCTGACTCTGGGTTGCCCCCATGGGAGGGAGAGCTGATTCCCCAAAGCCTGACATGATGCTACATTAGAAATAATAATAATAATAATAATAATAATAATAATAATAATTGTACCCCAGCCACTCTGGGTGCAGAGTCTATTTTTTTCTAACTGCACCACTGCCTAGTTGTGTGTTGCAATATTTCTGCGAGTGCAAGCTGGTTTAAACTGCTTGTAATATTGTGTTTTGATTTTGTAAACCTGTGCTGGGGCCTTAGGGTGGGTTAATAATAAGAAGAACAGCCAAAGCACATGTGCATTTGAATCCAGATGCATGTGCTCTGCAATACAGACCTGGATCAAAGTGAGAAGCAATCATCTGTGAAAAGGAGCTACATTATCATATAGTGACTGCATAGCAAATATTACTTAATACTTACATTACATCTTTGGGGGTGGAATATTTGATGTCAGGTGATTCTATGTGTGGCACAATAGACAAAAAGTAGTTCTTCAGTTCCACACCTCTGCAAGTAATGATAAAAATATCCGGTAATTTATTGTGCATAGGGGGAAAAACATAATGCATATCAATTGCAGGAGGTCAGTAGAATGAAATGATTGTCTGTCTCTCCTGGATTATTTCTTGAGCAATCATGCCTTTCAGTATGATGAGATGTTGAGAGAGGGTGCTCCTTTTACGTGTATCCATGCACACAAACAGCTGCACATGAAAGCCTACTAAAATTCTCACATATCAGTTTGCCCGAATTTAGGCACGATTCCAAGTGGCTCCCTTGATTTCAGCACAAGGGACTTAAAATAAGCACACGCTGAAGCTTTCCACTGAATTTGCAACCTAATCCCATGCATGTTCATGCCTCCAGACAGGTGCTGAATATTGTAAATGGGATGTTAAGATGTTGCAAACCAGCAATTGGCTGCAGGTTTTTCAGTTCATCAGCTAAAGGATAAAATCTAGATTAAATGGGGGGAGGAATATAGGCTGGTTTTTGGATGACAATTATATCATGTGGATGCTGTAAAAAAAACCTACAACTTGCAAAGGAGCATTGATCCCTCAATAAACATCTGACTGGAACTACTGCTAATTCCAATTGAACCTTCTCCATAGTTAAATGTTCAGTCTTAAAAATGCATTTCAGAAGTGCGGTTGTACTTACAAAGCCTTGCTCTTTTTTTTGTGATCCTTGCCTTCTCCAACCTCCTGGCTTTTTTCTTTCATTTCGCTTGAACTGGTTTGCCACAGGAACACCCAAGGCATCTTTCTTGGCTTCTGTCTACTGTTGTAGTCCTTAGCAGATTTGAACTCACCAACTGCAGACAGACTTATATATTGACACGTAAGCTGCTTTGAGCAAAAAAAATAATAATCTGTATGTCATAGGCTGTTACCACAAGCTGAGGAACTTCCTTTTTTCACTCTGAGATGACGTGCACAGTTATTTGTCTGGTTTTGTTTAAGAAGATCTTTCAAAAAAATTATGATTGAAACATATCACAATATGAGGACTTTTGTAAAAAGGAAAAAAGAAAAAGATTATTTAAGATCAGTTGTTGTATGGAGTGTTCTTGTGTTGGAGCAAAGTGAAATCCATTGATTCAATTGCCAGAGAACTAAATGTGTAGCTAGACATGTGTTTTCCTCTCTCCCAGTGATATAGATGGGATTTAAATGTATTTGACTTTGGCTGAATTATGAGCCTGAAGAGCAGAAAACCAAGATACGCCCCAAAGAACTTATTCACAGTTGCACAGCTTTTATTTATATCAGATCTGCATTTTTTGGGTGCTGGTGGTGGTGGTGGAAGGTCTTACTTAAAAAATTGATCATTTGCAATTAGGAATTTCAGAGAATTCTGTTGGAATTGGAAATGGGTGCAGAAATTGCTGCAGTTCACATGTTCTTCTGAAGTCAGGAATGGAAACCACACTATTGAATATAAGCAACGTTCACTATTGTTGGGGGTATTTTGTCGGCAAATGTTATGTAAATAATTACCATATTTTCTACATTGTTTTTGACCTTTCCCTTCCACTGAAATGCATTGAGATTAATTATATTCGTCTTACCTATAGCAGATAGCGAGATGAGGTTTTAGCGGAATCCAAACAGTAGTGGAACAGAAACAGAGGTGATTGCGATGAATAGAGGATGGGATGGATATCGCTGTCTCCTAACATCTTGCAACTCTAATCCCTCCCTTTTAGCCAGTGCTACAGCGGCGTCTCTGGAAGATGCTGAGGACCAACCAATTCTCCATCTATGTTGTTGTTGTTGTTGTTTAGTCGTTTAGTCATGTCCGACTCTTCATGACCCCATGAACCAGAGCATGCCAGGCACTCCTGTCCTCCACTGCCTCCCGCAGTTTGGTCAAACTCATGCTGGTAGCTTCAAGAACACTGTCCAACCATCTCGTCCTCTGTCGTCCCCTTCTCCTTGTGCCCTCCATCTTTCCTAACATCAGGGTCTTTTCCAGGGAGTCTTCTCTTCTCATGAGGTGGCCAAAGTATTGGAGCCTCAGCTTCAGGATCTGTCCTTCCAGTGAGCACTCAGGGCAGATTTCCTTCAGAATGGAGAGGTTTGATCTTGTTGCAGTGCATGGGACTCTCAAGAGTCTCCTCCAGCACCATAATTCAAAAGCATCAATTCTTCGGCGATCAGCCTTCTTCATGGTCCAGCTCTCACTTCCATACATCTCCATCTATATTAATTGATAAATTGGCTTCCTCATTTGGATCTAGCGTGCACTATTGATGAAAACCTGGTGAGGGCAGAGGAGAGGATTGGATGGGAGCAGCACATGCAGAGCTACGAGCGGCAGTTCTAAATTCTGGAGGCCAAGATCTTGATTCCTGCAGGGCCAGAGGTCCACCTGGTACGCAGGCTGAGACCCTACCTGCCTGCAGACTGTCTTGCCAGAGTGGTGCATGCTCTAGTTATCTCCCGCTTGGACTACTGCAATGCGCTCTATGTGGGGCTACCTTTGAAGGTGACCTGGAAACTACAACTAATCCAAAATGTGGCAGCTAGACTGGTGACTTGGGGCACTTCTGTCTTGTCAGGATTCAACCTCAATCCATTAGCCGCCATCCATCCTCCAACCACCTCCTGCAGGGCCAGAGGTGGAGAGAGAGCAATGTTGCTGATGCCTTGTAGATGACCCATTACACACACACACACACACACCCTCCAAATAAACTTTCAACTGAATTTTTGAAATATCTGTATTATTTTTACACAATTGTGCAATTGTGTTCTCTCTCTCTCTCTCTCTCTCTCTCTCTCTTTCTTGTCACTGTGTTGCTGCAACATTTGCAGTACAATGGTACCTCAGATTACATATGCTTCAGGTTACATACGCTTCAGGTTACAGACTCCGCTAACCCAGAAATAGTACCTCGGGTTAAGAACTTTGCTTCAGGAGGAGAACAGAAATCGGGCTCCAGCGCCATGGCGGCAGCAGGAGGCCCCATTAGCTAAAGTGATGCTTCAGGTTAAAAACAGTTTCAGGTTAAGAACAGACCTCCGGAACGAATTAAGTACTTAACCCGAGGTACCACTGTACTTATGTTTGGTTGTCATCATTTTGAAATGTGGGAAAGCCTCAAGAAAACATTTTCAACACCCAGATGGTTTTTTGGGTCAAGCCTGGCTACACTAGAGACAGGCATGGTACTTGTTAGTTTACATCATGATCTCTCTACCCATTACTCATCTCTGCACAGCAGGTGTGGTGAACCTTTGGCCCTCCAGGTTGTGGTTGTTGTTGAACTACAACTCCCATCACCTGTGGCCATTGGCCATGCTTTCTGGGGCTGATGGGAGTCGTAGTTCAGCAACATCTGCAGGAACAAGAGTTCCCCACACCTGCTGTAGAGAAAACAGTTTAGCAGTTGGTGATGCTAGAGCACTACAGTCGTACCTTGGTTCTCCAACATAATGCGTTCCGGGAGTCCGTTCGATTTCCGGAACTGTTCGGAAGCCGCAGAAGCCGCGCCAGATGTTCGGCTTTCAAAAATCATTCGGAAACCGGAACACTCACTTCCAGTTTTCAATCGTTCCCGATCCGAAACGTGTGAGTTCCAAAGCGTTTGGCAGTCAAGGTATGACTGTACAGTGGTACCTCTAGATACGAACGGGACCCCGTTTGCATCTAGAATTAAACGTAACTAGCGACGGCGCATCTGCGCACGCACGCGTCACTTTTTGCCGTTTCTGTGCATGCACGTGATGTCATTTTGAGCACCTGCGCATGCGCAAGCAGTGAAACCCAGAAGTAACATGCTCCGTTACTTCCGGGTTGCCGAGGAGCGCAACTCGAATGCGCTCAACTTGAAGTGTATTCAACCTGGGGTATGACTGTATACCTGGGAGTAAGCTTCACAAAATTAGTGGCACTTGCTTCTGAGTAGACATGTACAGGATGCACAGTCAGCACCAAATTAAAACTATTTGGTTTTCCTTTAAATAAATCAAATAAGTGAAGTTCTTTATTCAGTTAGTGATCAGGTTGTATTGTTAATCATGTGTTATGTGTGCTTGAATTTTTTTGCTTCTTAAATAATTTTTTTGTATTATTAAGTTTTTACATCTAGTTTAAGGTACATAAAAGTAAAACATACATAACAATATTAATAATGAACAATAAAACAACACAAAGAAGTGTGGGACCATCAAATTTTAAATCAATGACAGGTTTTTTCCTTGGTTTATGTGCTTTTTCATCAAACATAGACTTAACAAGCTAAATGTTGTCGAATCATAAAAAATTGCAGAGATTTGCAAAATCAAGTTTTACCAGCTAAAAGGACATGACCTAATGACAAAGCCTAAAATTAGTACATAGTTAGGGAGAGGAAATCCTGCCTTATTTTCAGTAGCCAAGTTGTTCCTAGGAAAGCGCAGTTTTCAGTGGAATGATGTGGCAATAATTTCCAAGTCACTTTTTTGACAAATGTCTGCAGAAGGCTGCACAGTTCAAAGATTACTACATGTGGGTCAGCGGGGAATAATTTTGGCAAGAAAGTGAGGTCTCAGATGTGCTGTCCAGTTGGTGATTCACTGCAAAGAGAAGCCCACATCTTAAGGGCTTACAAAGGCCACATGTTTTTGTGATAGTTTCTAGTTCCTGTCTGCCAGGATTCTCCAACACTTTCTCCTGAAAGACAACAGGAAATTTGTTTTGAGTTCCTCGCTGATGTGTTCTGTTACATTCCCCTTCCAGCCTCTGTAAATAATGGCTGGAATTGATAATACAGTCATACCTCGGGTTACAGACGCTTCAGGTTGCGTTTTTTCAGGTTACGGACCAGGCGAAACCCAGAAGTACGAGAGCATGTGCAGAAGCGCCGAATTTGAGCATGCGCAGAAGCGCTGAATCACAACCCGTGCATGTGCAGACGTGCCGCTGCGGGTTGCGAACGCTGCAGGTTCCGAACGTGCATCCTGTACGGATCACGTTCACAACCCAAGCGTCCACTGTACTGACAATTCTCCCCCAAGTTTGCTCCCTTCCTTCAACAGAGAAAGTATTGGAACAGCAGGGAACAGATGTTGCCCACAGAATCAGGCCTTCACATACTAAATGTGATTTGCTCCCCGGTGGCCTCTCGCTTCTGGTTAGGCAAAGCAGCAAAGAGTTGCATCTGCCAATGGGTACGAGAAGGTCAAGGCATTTACAATGTGAGACTTGGCTGATGTATCATTTGATTGAAATCAGCTAATGGAATAAATTGAAATTTAATTATGTAAATATTTCTTTTGCTTAACCTAACACAAGAAAAACAGTTGAGGTAGGTTCGAAGATAACAACCACTATGTTGTCTGCGGTCAGTTGCTAAAATAGCCAGGTAGTCTGCCCAGAATGAAATGGAAAAACTTCATCCTGAATGGAAAGGAATACGTAACTTCGCCATGCAGGGATATGCTAATCACTTACTTAACCATGTTGGCTTCACTCACTTATTTACTTTGAGGATTAAGGGAGAGCAACAGGATATTAGGGCAGTGTAAAGAAAACCTTAGCTAAGAAGACTTGGATAATATTTACAGATGCAATCCTGTTTGTGGCGCTAGACTTACGCAACAAGAATCAGTAAGTTGCCCCCCCCCCCATGTGTCGATCTCTGGCATTTAAACCAAGTGATTTAACTTTGCTCCAGCGCAATAGCAATTCAGGTAACAACTGATCTTAAATAACCCTGTGTTTTAAAAATGTGCTGCTGAAGCTTTCAGGCCCAGCCTCCCCCCACCTCCCCAATCTCTCTTTGAGGAAATATCCAAGCTTATGACGTCTCACTTCTTTCA